CCCGGGTTCATGATGTGGGTATCAAAGAAATGATCATTTGGCTTTTATTCATGATCTTTGCCTTTTATTTTGGCTCAAAGTGGGTAGCTAGGGATAATATTTGTGTTTGGGAAAAGAAACATGGCCTTTCTTCATTGAACCTTTCCACCTTTGAACTCCTTTGTGGCTTTTCGCACTTTTTCTGTTTTTGCATCATTGCCCTCGAATCTTAGACCTTGAATTTAGATATCATCAACATATCCTTAGAAAGAAAAGATTTAATCCATCAAGAAGCAAAGAATTATTTAAATAAGGAAATGAGTAAGGAAATTGTGTAATGGAATTTTTGACATCATCTTCAATTAACAGTAACATTTAGAACATGTCAAACATATATAAAATTTTGATGAAATTAAGGCCATTTTCAACTCCAACCATGATTTTGGGCAGAATCAATGATGGGTTTTGATTTACACATACTACAAATGATAGAAAAACAAAGATAACTAACATAGATCATTACTTCAGGAATCCTTCAGGTTTGAACTTGATCATTGCATTACAAGTTTTGTTGAGGACTTGTCATTACTTGTGATTTAGATTAAGCAACTATAGAATTGCGAGCATATAAAACAAACTTTCTTCTTGTGAGCAATTTTGAAGGCAATCAAAAAAATGTGAACTAAAGTAATAAAAGAATTTAATTTGAAAATTTTTTTTTATGCTTGAAGAAACAAATTTTGGATCTAAGTTTTTTTTTTTTGTATGAATTAATAAAAATGCAAGGATGATGAAAATTTTGTAATACAATGTAGATTTGGTCTACATATTTTGATGAAGTTCAATTTAGTCCTTTTTTGGTGAAAAGAGCAAATGTCATGAAGTTTGAAAAAAAAATGATTCTTTCTTCTGTTTTTTTTTTCTTTTTTTTCTTTTTTTCTTTTTTTTTAACAAAATGCGAAATGCTTCGGATTTAATTAGGTAAGGCCAATTTGAAACATGCAAGTGTTAATTTCGTGTAGAAAGTGTAAGAGGGTGAGACTTTCTTTGAAAGAGAGTTTGGACAAATTTTTTGTTTTTGTAGAAAGTGATAACTTGAAGAACTTAATTGAAAAACAAGCAAATATGAGGACCAAATTCAACTTTATTCAAAAGAGAAAATGAGCATGAGATGAATGTGATGTGAGATGGAAGACGTGATGTAAGGTTGAATGTGGGTTGCAATGAAAATGGAATGGAAAGTATAATGTGAACTAAACATGGATGAGATTTTCATTTTTTATGCAATTTTTTTTTTATGAAACATGGGAAATATGAGAAATCTAAGATGGAGATAGTAATGCTTGAAAAGGAATATGAGATGAAAAATGAAAATGGATGAAATTTTGTTTCCATGTAATTTTTTCATTTTTTTTTTTTTTGAAGTATGAGATGAAAACTTAAGATAGGAAATGCATGTGGATGAGATTTTTTTTATACTTTGTGGAATTTTTTTATATGAGATGGAAGATGTAATGTAATGAACATGGATGAAATTTCATTTCTTTTTTTTTTTTTGAAATTTTGTGAAATATGAGATGAAAATGAAATGGAGAATGTCACATGAAATGAACATGAAAACATATTTTGTGATGCATGGGATGGAAAATGCAATGTAATGAACGTAGACATGTGAAAGGTTGATGACATGTAAAACAATTATGCAATTTTTTTTTTTAATGATATATGGAATAGAAAGTGAAAATGCCAAAGTGCATGGTGTCATGTAATATTGAGTAGAAAGTGAAAAGCAAAATGCATGGAATGAACGTGATGGATGTCATGATACTTGACATGGTTGACTCAATGAATACCTGTAAGTGTAGAAAGTAAGGTAAGATGTAAAATGCCCCCTTGTGTACCTAGACACAGGGAATCCTAACCTCATTGGTGGTTTTCTAGGCTGACAAGTCCTATGGGTGGTTTCTCTTTAAGTTCACTACATGCTTTCCTAAAGGACATTAGGCCTTCTCAACCATTTATCTTTTCAAAATCAATGGGAGATATTTCCAAAAGCTAATACACAGGACGATATTACATCATCAGGTGTCGTATTAACCAATGGAAACAACCTAACGAGAACCGATCTTACTCCTCAAAGTGGGAAGAATTGCTCTTCCAAGCCAGATTCGTAAGGATTCCAGACTAGAGGTTGGGTTCACCTCTGACATAGACCTAATGCAAAATGAGAGTGAGTGTGTGCAAGGGGCATGACACTAAAAGCAACCACAAAAATAGCAACATATTTATAACAAGCAAATAAAAAATGTAAAACACTCAACAAATATAACACCCACAAACAAACCTACTTACATAGCAGAAAGGAACTCACCTCGTACTCCCATGCCAAATGCAAAAGGTTAGCACATTCACATACAAGCAAGGAAGCATGTAAGCATGATGCATGATGAATAAGCATGTAACATCAGTGATGCATGAGCATGTGAGATGATATGATGCATGAACATGTGAGCAAGATATGATGCATGCCAAGATGTAGCCAAATAACTACTCAAAAGCAAAATAGTAAAGCAACCATCAAAACAACAAGCAAACAAGAAATAAAGAACAAGCAAGGAGCACATGCGACGAGTAACAAAGACCCACAAAGACTCAACAAACAAAAGAAAAATCAAAAGCTGAAAAATTCCCCAAAGTTAAAGTATTAGCTCGACCCTCATGAATCCAAAACATGAAAACCAGAGATTCTGGATTCAATCCCCAGTGGAGTCGCCAATCTGTTGACGACCACTTTAGATTTTTTCAAAATAAATTGAAAAATCATTATTAACAAGTGTAAAATATAAAAAGAAAGGGGAGTCGCCACTCGTCCAAATTATAAGGTGAGACAAGTCACCTAAAACGGGTCTGCGCAGAGATCGGGGTTCGGGGGTTCGTTTAGGAGTGAGGAAGGGCATACGCGCACCCCACAATCCTCCGTTTAAACATGGTTGCATACTTTAACATTAGGGGTTTTGATTCAACTTATTTATTACATTTATGTTTGAGTCTTAATAAGCAAACTTAAAAAAAAGGGGTTAACCGGATTCAAACCTTTTTTTTATTTTTGGACTGAAATAGACAAAATCAAGAACATGCATGCACAATAAACACAAATAAAAATTAAAGGGACTGATTTGATTAAAATAAAAATAAAGGACTGATTTGAAAAGGTTTAAAACTTTTAGACTAAACTGCTTAAACGTGAAAGTTGAAATAAAATAGACAACTTTTGATTTTTTTTTTTACTTTTTAACCTTTTTAGTGTTTTTTTTTTTTTGGATTAAATCGGACTGACCCGACCCACAAACACGATTAAAGCATAAAAACAGACAAAAAGAAGATCAAACATGCAACCAAAGCGGAAACTAGGATTCATGTAATTTCCAGTAACAGCAACACATTCATCAGAAAATATCAGAAAATAAACTGAACAATTTTTTTTTTGATTTTTGATTTTCATTGATTTTCAAACGGAACATGTACAAGCTTGAACATTAAACAAAAAGATGCAGAAACATCAACCAAAATAAGAAAAACATCCACGGCAGAGCCTTTTGGGTAAGATGGATCCAGATCAGATGGGAGGGATCCCACCCACGGGACCAGGCTCCTATCATCTCCTTCACCATCATTCCCAGAAGGCTCCTCTGTTCAGGAATTACCTAGCGAAAGGAGGCTGAAATATTGCCGGAATCTTGCCAGAATCAGCTCAGTTTTCTTCTTTTTCTTGCTATCACCTCCGGCAATCCCAAACTCAGACCAAAAAGAACAACCAAGAGAACTCCCCAACCAAAAGAGAACCCCCCAACCAAAAGAGAACCCCCCTTTTCAATCTGATTTTTCTCTATATATATACCCGAATAAAAGATAAAAATAAAGATAAAAATAATAAACAAGCCTTGCTCTGTCAATCAATAATAATGCCAATTTGTCTGGAGCTGCTGTAGTGTGCAGAGGCAGAGCAGCAGAGGTGCAGCAAGGCTCGGTGCAGGGTCATGATGCTGGCACAGAGTGCAGGCGTGCAAGCAACGTGGGTTCGGCGCAGCAGGCGGCAAGGGGATCTGGTGCAGCAGAGGATCCGGCTTTTTTGGCAGAAGCAGGAGTGCAGGATCAAGTGCAGCTGTAGCAGAGTGCAAGGCAGAGGATCTGAGCTCAGCGCAGCAGCAGGTGCAGGAGTGATGATTGCGCGGGATCTGGGCGCAGGAGGCACGTCGGGCGCAGAGCAAGGAGCAAGGGCGCAGGCTGGTGCAGGGGTGAGGCTCGGGCGTGCAGGGGACCTGGGTTCGGGGCGCAGGGCGCAGGGCGCAGGGCGTGAGGCGCAGGGCACGGGCTGGTTCGGGAAAAAAATCAAATTTGATGGGGAAAGAGAAGGTTCCAGACTTCATTTTTTCTTTTTCTTTTTTTTGTCTTTGGGTTTGGGTTAAATGGGTATTGGGATTTTGGGCTTGGGTTCTTGGATTTTGATTTTGGTTTTTTTTTTTT